GTTCCTCTTAAAATCTAAAAACAGTAATCACGACTCCATGCTATATTAAATATGAAATAACATTGGTTTCGTTTCCAAATCAATAATAAATAATTTATATATTTTAATAATTTTATATTAGATTAACCCGTTCACTGCGGATGACGCCAAAAGGCGTCATGTACCTTTTTATTTTATGGACTATAATTTGGTCAGCGTTACGATTAAACTTTTGGTTTTTTGTCAGCGTCTTCTATAAACATTGTTTCATAAATAAGTGCAAACCGTACACTGATATTTTAATTTTTCAATTTTTAGGAAATTTTTTTTTAAAACTAAAATTTTTTCAGCGTCACGACAAGTATACAAAAATTAGATCTGCAGTGAAAGTGTTAATATTAGTCTTTGGATCTTTTGAGGCCCTTCGATATATTATGAGGCCCAAGGCCTGTGTGCGGTGCACACTTTGCACACCCGGTTTTTACGGCACTGTTCCGGCAACAGAAACGTTCAGATAAATCTAGAATATCATACACCTGAACAATGTTTGAGTTATATACAATTTGTACATTTAACGGGTAACGAAGTGCACGGGATCAGCTAGTAATATTATATTTTAGTGTGTGCGCTGATCGGCACTTATACGCGAGTCGTCATATATTGTTGTAATTTTGAAGCTGTGCGGGCAAATCGCCTCGGACATAATATTATTATTTTGTATCAAAGGTGCTATAATCGCCGGAGATTTATTATTGTATTTTTTGTAAGCACAATTCGTGCATTTTTATTATATTATTTTTAGTGTGCGCTAATCGTCCATCATTGTGTGTTTTGTACGTGTGTGAATCACCGTATTTTTAATAACTGATTGTTTCTGTGTGTCAACTACCAAATTATTTTATACAGGCACAGGTATAGCGGATGGCCAGCAAAGCTCCTACAAATTGTGAGTCTTTATTATTTATTATTATACTATAACATGTATTGAGCCAAAAGGGCTAAATTTATATACAAGTATTTGTCGTGCCAGAATTGTATAGGTACCTACTATATATTATTGTGTTGTTTATACATTTTTACTAATTAGTAATTATTATATATATATAGTATTTTTACTCTATTGAGCAAAGAGGACCACATTATTATTATATTTTATATCGTTGTTTTCCTGTTGCATATTTATATAAACTGTCATTTTCAACTTTGCAACCAGTAATACACAGTAGGTACTTCCTTGCTATATATTGTTATTTTTTATTATTAGCTTAATTGCATACACACATCTACACATGCCACCTGCACACTAGTACTCACAGATCTTGCTCGGCGAAAATGTCCAATTTCCGTTGAGTACTAAAACATACCTATATACACACAAAAAACACAGGTCGGTCGGAGTGACAGATATCCATATATCATAGGCGTAGCGGAGTGAAAGGGCGTGTTCGAACGCGGCTGAACTTCCCGCCGAATCTACCAAAGTCCAAAGGCTTTACAAGTCTCGTGGCCGGCGCGGAATGTTCGCGAAGAGTCGTTCCCCCTCCACGGTGTCCACACGCCGGCTGGCGTCCACCGTCCACGGCCCCCGTGCCGGGGACTCTGTCTGTTTGTCTCTTACCTACGCTCGAACTTGGCGGATCACGCACCGCCGGTTCGCGTTGCTTCGTGTGGCTGTATTTAGACCTCGTGGTCATTATTAGTAATTATTTATTATTTATGATTATAATTGGTGCACGTCTATACCGTCGTAAACTTGGAGACAGTCTAAGTTTGACGGATTGTGTCACCGCGCACCACCGAATTTATTAATTATTATACGTGTCACCGCTGGGCCGTCGTTCAACTGCGCCGCAGTGCCGATTTTGGCTGTTGACGAGGAAGACGCTGTCGCATTTCCAGCGAGGACCGTGCTGACCAGTGACCTGTCCCCGAGGTGTCGATCAGGTCATATTGTAAAATTATTATTACCTATTGTTTAAATTATTATTATTGTTTATTGTTCAAATTATTATTATTATTATTGGTGTAGCGCGTGTTAAATTGTACACGGCGTCTACATTGATTACTAGTGTGTAAAAAATATATATATCGCGTCATTACGCATTAAGACTTGTACGAGGTAATATATTGTGAGTTCGCCCCTTCCCGTCCACAGCATTCCGCGAGTCGTTGTCGCTAACCGCGATTTTTAAAAGTAGGAGCGGCACGGCGCACAGGGCGCACGTTCTATTGTGGTAACGTTCCCGGTCCAAACAAACATGAAATATAGGTTTGTTGCCAGCACCTCCCCTCCCCACAAAAGGAAAATCTATAAACAAACTATACAGATATTTAGCACGTAATTCGCACGAATTCGCACGCCTTGTTTGAAAATTCACAAGACCTTCCTCCCCCTCCAAAAACAAAAAATTCATTTTTTGTCAAGATAGATTTTTTATTCAATCAAGATTTTAAATTCTGAGCGGAACGATGAATGTATGTGTTTTTTATTTTTTATGTGTGTACACGATAAGTAGTCGAAATAATGCTTCAATTTTCAACTTCAGTATCTTGTTCGATTGGAGAGTGAATATTGTTGATGCATTGGGGAGCATTGGGAAAAATTAAAAGAACAAAATTTAAAATTAGAAGTAATTTTCAAAAATACCGAGACAAACAAAAGAAAAATTAAGGAAAAACGGGAATTTTTACTCAAAATAGAATTTGGGTTTTGGTGTAACTTTAAAACAAATGACCGTAGATACATGAAATTTTCACTGGTTGTTCATATTTGCATTTTCTATACACGATAACATTTTCAAAATATTTTGATATATTTTGAACAGTTTAGGGACATTTTCAGTTTCCAATTTTATTAGTTTTTTTTTTTTATGAATATCAATAACATTTTATTTGTTGAGCAAAAATACTTGAAAATTTAATAGAAGGCTCCTTAGTCCTATATATTGTTACAATATCAGTTGAAAAATATTGAAAATACATAGTCACAATTTTTTTGTTATTAGCATTTAAAGATCAAATTTTGAAAAAATTTATAAAATTTAAAATTGAATAATTATTTTGTAGTTAAAAATTTACAAAATGTTGAACTTTTATATCTAAGGATTGAAAATTTAAAACAAGATTCCATGTAAGTAGTTAATTCTGTTACCAAAAAATCTAAATCCCCGCCAAATTTACAGGCCGTACTCCGTTCCCGCGGCGTGCAAACCGAGCGCAGCCGTCGCGCACGTTTTTTGCCGTTTTTGTCGAAAACTCCAGTTTTAGTCCTTTTCGACACGTCTGCCCTCCCCGTTGGCGATTTATTCGCATTTCCCGCAACATTTATAGGCCGTGCTTCCTTCGAGTCGAATCCCGGGGCTGAGCGGAAACAAGACGTCCGAAATCTAAATCCGGTATAGTAATACCATATACTATATACAGGCATAAATACATGTGTCGGAACATTAGATTTTTTTGGTGAATATAGCGTTTTTGACGTTCGAAGTCGGACGAGCGCGTCGTCTGCTGTCCGACGAGGTAGGATCGCCGGCTACGACGCCCTTTGATGGACGTCGAAAACGCGTTCGCAATTCGCAGGCACGGCGAAACGGCTTAAGAGTCATAGATTTGATTCCAGTTCTCGATTTGGTATAGGTAGGTAGGTAGGAGGTAGGTAGGTAGCTAGCACGGCCGCCGGCTTTTTTTTTTTCGTTATTACTAGGGCTGGGATTTGTATGTAAATACATATTTATTTAGTGAAACACGATAAATTAATTATTGCAAATGATAAATTCGTTTCACGTGATTTGCAATAAAATAAGACATATTTTTTTTTACATATTTCGTCATAAATACATATTTTTACATAGGTACTTTGTAAAATTTTCGTTTTTATTTACATACTTCGTAAATTTTGACAATTTCAGTGGTTTAGTAATATTTAATAATACAAATAAATTCTTTTTATTTTCGTTATAAATTATTAGTTAATGAAATCTAGATAGACTAATGTGTTTTCGGGAAAAAAAAAATTTGCAAGACCGCAAGAGTCTTGCAGTGATGTCTTGTCATGTTCTTGCAAGAATAACCTTGGTCTTGGTCTTGCAGCAAAAGTCTTGCAAGACCGCAACACCAAGGTCCAAGACCAATTTTGATCGTCACTAATGCATACTTTAGAAGATCATAGTTAATAACCTAGCTAACCAAAATTGATCATTTGACTGTCAAAATGTTTAGAAGAAAAGCTTTATCGGAATCCATAAAAAAACATAGTGGTTACCATTTGAAAAAATAAAGTCGATTTTATTATTTTTACAACTGCGTGTTTAAAAAGGTGGGCAAGTGGGTGTCGCTCTGCTGTACAGTAGGTTACAAGTGGGTCACTGTATAATGGATGATATTAAATTTGAATTCAACGATATAATATCATTGTATAAGAAAAACGATTCTGAGCAGAGACGGTATGTCAGTCTAGGTATAAGACGTATTATATGCATATCTATGATGGTACTAAACCAAAATTTGACATTATAATAGGTACCCATAGGCGCAACTAGGGGGGTGCTAGGGGGACTTTAGCACCCCCAGACTAAAAATTAGCACCCCCAAAAATTCAAAGTCAAATCCTTGATTTGTAAGCTGTAGGTATTTCATTATTGTACCTACCTATTCTGTTCAAATTTTTATTTTAGAATAATTTATTTATATTTAATGTTTCGAAGATAGTTATATTAGATGACAACATAGTTTGTCATGAGGTCTACAATATAATATCATGATAGCCGATAGGTAAGGTATATTGCATTGGGAATTTGGTTGTGTTAATAGTTATTTTTAAACTGTTATATCTACGTAATCCGCTACCCGTATGTTTTCCATTATATGCGTTATCGTTATAAATTATAAATATAACTTATAACATTACACAACAGTCGACGAGACGACGACACACGTTATACAGACATACAGTACCCAAAACTTGAACTGCCAACAGGTAACAGTATTCCGTCTCCGTAAATCTGAATTGATAGGTATTTAAAATGTTTAGTATTTTTAAAAAACGGAAACCTAAAGCTGATATTGACGATCCTGGCATGGTTGACATTTCTACTAATAGTACTACTCATACAAGTGATACAACTCTTGATTTGGCCGATTTGGGAAATAAAGATTCCGGCCCATGTCGTCCTATACTTACAGTAAGATTTATTCTGTTTACATATAAAAACTTAATAATTCGTTTTATGAGTTTTTTTAAATAAATAAAATAAAATAATAATAATAAAACTATAATAAGTTGTTTAATATTTTTCTGATTAATTTTATTATTATTTATTAATTAGGAATATAAAAAAATTAAATTTGGAACACAACAAAGATCGTTTCGAAGCCAATGGTACAATGAATGTGATTGGCTAGAATACAGTGTTCAGCGTAACGCTGCATTCTGCTTTGTTTGCCGAACTTTCGGTTCAGAAAATTCAGGTGAAAATATATGGATTAAATCTGGGTTCAATAATTGGCAAAAGGTAAGTAGTTTATTTTGAAGTGTAATAGTATATGTATTTTTACAAATAAAATAATTAAAAAATAAAAATTATTCAAAAACTTAAACTTCGCTAGAATAACTTAGTGTGTTAGACGTTAGTATTGAATACTAAATTTGTATCATGATTAATATAATCGACCACATTTTTTTCAGTTTCTTGTAAAATCAAAAAAACATTCTTCTACCAGTACTCATTTGACTAATTTATGTTATCTAAATAGTTGTTATTAGTTATTGTAATTAATTATTAATTATAATGTTTTTAGTGATTGTTCCTTAATATTAATCATTATCAAAATATCAAATGTGTTATCATATAAATTAATATAAATATGAAGTTGAGTTATAAAAGCATGTTGTTAATAGCTTTGAAGTTGTGTGTTGGTGGGGGAAGCCCCCCACGGGTTACCAAGGTATACTAAATTTTAGCACCCCTTAAATTGCAGGTTTAGTTGCGCCTATGTAGGTACCTATAATAAATTCCAAATTAATCATATCACAATATCCATTAGGTACTTATAACGCTTTATACATCAACAAAAACCGTGATACTATCATAATAGATATATAATAGTGTACTTTAGAAGTATCAAGTACCCACGAATAACATTATTCAATCACAACAAAATAACTAAAATAGTTATTCTAGGTTTTTTAATATGTAATTTCGTCCAAATTTGAATTTAAAATGTCTGTAAAAAATAACTGTGTTCATATATTTTTTAGATTTTTTGGTTACAGTATGAACTATTTATGAGAACCTTAGTTTTAAATTTTGCAATCCTTAGCTATAAAAACTGAACATTTTATAATTTATTAATTACAATGATTGATAACTTTCGAGATTTTGATAAATTTTGTCAAAATGCGATCTTTAAATGCTTATAAAAAAAAACTGTGCCTATGTATTTTTAATATTTTTCAACTGATATTGTAACAATATATCAGGAGCCTTGTATTACATTTTTACACTTTTTAGCCCGACAGATAAAACTTAATTGATATTTATAGAAAAAAAACTAAAAAAAATTGAAAGCGGTAAATGTCCGCAAATAGCTCAAAAAGAGTCAAAATATTTTCAAAATTTTATGGTGTACCTATAGAAAATGCTAATTTAAACATTCAGTGAAATTTTCATGTAACTATAGATATTCGTTTTTGAATAAAGGAAATCGCCACATGAGAAATCGAGTGAATATCCAATGTTGTAAAAATTTGAATTTTAAACGCTCATAAAAATTTAATTTGACTTTCTTATAGACATTTTTTGTTTGATATAGGTAGTAAATCTTATAAGGAATCTTGTATAACATTTTCAAATATTAGATTTAAAAAGAAAAATTTTTACGAATTCTTAACTCAAAATAATTTGCTAATTTTAGTGATTTTTCCATATTTTGTCAATTTTTGAACTTTAAATGCTTATAAAAAAAAATTGTGAATAAGGATTTTTAATATTTTTCATCTGCCTTTCAAACAATATACTAGGAGCCTTCTATTAAATTTTCAAGCTTTTGCAACCAACAAATAAAATTGTATTGATATTTTTAGAAAAAAAACTATAAAAAGATGGAAAATGAAAATGTCCCTAAACAGTTAAAAATAAATCAAAATATTTTGAAAATGTTATCGTGTATATAAAATACAAATATAAACAACCAGTGAAAATGTCATGTATATACGTTCATTTTTTTTAGAGTTACACCAAAAACCAAAATCGATGTTTTGGAAAACCGATTTTGCGTAAAAATTTACGTTTTTCCTTAATTTTTATGTTGTTTTTCCCGGCGCTTGTGAAAACTACTGATAAATTTTTACTATAAAGTTATAAACTTTTGACCCCCCTAAGTACCAACTAGATTCACTTTCCTATCAGAAAAGCTACTGTTGAAAAAAATCCAAGCACTTTTACTGTCCTAAAACGTGAAGACAGACACAAAAAAAATTTAAAAAAATTAAAAATTAAAAAAAAACACACATCATTGTAAAATCAATACATTCATCGTTTCACTCAGAATCTAAAAATGTTTAATTTAAAATAATCTATAATTTTAAAACAATTTCTCAAGGCTATAACTAACTCAAAAAAGTAAAAATTTTCCAAAATGTAATTTATTGAAAATATTAATATAAATATTTGGTGAAAACTTCAATGGTCTACGGTTATTAGTTTTCGAGTTATACCAAAAAATAAAATTTTTGGTTTTAGGTAAAAATGACAAATTTTTTTTTTTATCGACGCTTTTTAATATTTTAAACTAAAAATTTCGGTTTCGATCTCCAAAAAGTACCAACTAGATTCACTTTTCTAACAGAAAAAATGCTGATCTCGAAATTCGGAATATTTTTACTACCCATTGTTGATGACCGACAGAAATGAAAAAAATTATACACATCTTGTAAAATCAATACATTTGTTCGTTCCTCTTAAAATCTAAAAACAGTAATCACGACTCCATGCTATATTAAATATGAAATAACATTGGTTTCGTTTCCAAATCAATAATAAATAATTTATATATTTTAATAATTTTATATTAGATTAACCCGTTCACTGCGGATGACGCCAAAAGGCGTCATGTACCTTTTTATTTTATGGACTATAATTTGGTCAGCGTTACGATTAAACTTTTGGTTTTTTGTCAGCGTCTTCTATAAACATTGTTTCATAAATAAGTGCAAACCGTACACTGATATTTTAATTTTTCAATTTTTAGGAAATTTTTTTTTAAAACTAAAATTTTTTCAGCGTCACGACAAGTATACAAAAATTAGATCTGCAGTGAAAGTGTTAATATTAGTCTTTGGATCTTTTGAGGCCCTTCGATATATTATGAGGCCCAAGGCCTGTGTGCGGTGCACACTTTGCACACCCGGTTTTTACGGCACTGTTCCGGCAACAGAAACGTTCAGATAAATCTAGAATATCATACACCTGAACAATGTTTGAGTTATATACAATTTGTACATTTAACGGGTAACGAAGTGCACGGGATCAGCTAGTAATATTATATTTTAGTGTGTGCGCTGATCGGCACTTATACGCGAGTCGTCATATATTGTTGTAATTTTGAAGCTGTGCGGGCAAATCGCCTCGGACATAATATTATTATTTTACTGTTCTAAAACGTGATGACAGACACAAAAATAAAAAAAAAAAATGAAAAAATAAAATAAAAAATGTTTGTATTTGTTCTCAATTACTTTTTCTAAAAAGTGTTACAAGAACTCTTGTATGGATGTATTAGGTTATCTGTTAACTTTTAATGTAATTTTGGCTGGAATAGTTTTGTTACCACATGTATTTAATTTTAATTTTAAAAATTTTTTTTTTTAAATTTAATACAAGATTCCTTATAAGATTATATACCTTTATCAAAAAAAAAAAAATGTCTATATGAAAGTCAAATTAAATTTTTATGAGCGTTTTGAAATTCAAATTTTTACAACATTGGATATTCACTCGATTTCTCATGTAGCGATTTCTTTATTTTGTTGTAATTCAAAAACGAATGACTGTAGATTCATGAAAATTTCACTGAATATTTATATTAGCATTTCTTATACACCATACAATTTTGAAAATATTTTGACTCTTTTTGAGCTATTTACAGACATTTTCAGTTTCCCATTTTTTTAGTTTTTTATTCTATAAATATCAATAAAGTTTTATCTGTTGGGCTAAAAAGTGTAAAAAATGAATACAAGGCTCCTGATATATTGTTACAATATCAGTTGATAAAATATTAAAAATACATAGGCACAATTGTTTTTTATAAGCATTTAAAGATCGAATTTTGACAAAATTTATCAAATTTAAAATTGAATAATTATTTTGGAGTTAAAAATGTATAAAATGTTCAACTTTTATATCTAAGGATTGAAAATTTTAAACAAGATTCCACGTAAGTAGTAAATTCTGTTACCAAAAAATCTAAAAAATTCATAAGCACAGTTAATTTTATATAGTCATTTTAAGTTCAACTTTGGACAAAATAACATAAAAAAAAACCTAGAATAACTACTTTAGTTATTTTGTTGTGATTCGTGGGTACTTGAAAATTTTAAAGTACCTACACTATTATATATCTATGGAGTATGGACTATGATATTATCAGGGTTTGTTGTTGATGTATAACGCATTATAAGTACCTAATGGATATTATGATATGATTGATTTGGAATTTATTATAGGTACCTATTTTAGGTAAATTTTTTTTAATTCGATAGATTAGTATATAATATGTCTTATACCTAAACTGACATAATACCGTCTCCGCTCAGAACCGTTTTTCTTATATGACGATATTATATCATTGAATTAAAATTTAATACTATCCATTATACAGTGACCTACTTGTAACCTACTGTACAGCAGAGCACCTTTTTATAATTTTATATCAATATAATAATTATATCATTATTGGTTTTTACAATAAAAAAGTTGGCTAAAATAGCCACTTCACAGTACGAAAAACCACTAACTGATAATGTAAAAATAATAGATAACACAATTTAAACTGTTCACTATACGTCTATAGTGAATACGTCTATATACTACCTATTTCATTAATACACAGGAATACAGCGACACGGTGTATAGACGTTACTATCGTCAGTCGTTACACTTTTGATTCCAAGTACTAATTTACTTATCGAACACTCAGTATCTAGCCGTCAAATTTCTTCTGTTAGGTATTTGCCCACCTGCATAGCAGGACCCACCACCCACCCATTTAAAAGGGGTGGCGGGCCACCCTTACTATATAGGTTCGGCGCCACTGCCTCCAAACGTTTTAACATGTATATTGTATATATATACATTTTAACATTATACGGTACAAAACGGTGCAATAGGATTTCAAGTGCGTGAAAATGCGGGATGGTCGTATGCCAGCTGGGTAGCCGATGAATCGACGATGTACAAATGTACAATGCTTCCGCAACAAGAAAAACCCTATTTTCGGCGGCTACGAAACAGTATACACGTGCACAAAAGACCGATATAATAATATTATGTGTACCCATACACCACCGGGGCCCAACCGTCTGGCAGCAGCAGCAATAATAACAACAACAATGATATTATATTATACCCACGAATAACAATAATTATATGAAGATTGATGAGGGGTTGGTATTTCTGTAGATCAGTATTACCTATGTACTATTATTAAATATTCACTTAAGTATTTAATAGGTCAGGTTCAATTGAACATAATGTGACGAGT